TGTGTGTGTGTGTGTGTGTGTGTGTGTGTGTGTGTGTGTGTGTGTGTTTTGTGCAAGGGGTGGGGGACTGTATAGGGATGTATGTGCATCACAAGCCTAAGCAGATTGTTGCTGGGAGCTTCTCTTTATGTCTTTTCTCCTGCTGTATAGGGAACACTAAATCACAGCTAATCCACCAACAAATGCAGCGGCACAACATTTTGTTCGGGTTAAGTAATGCAGGATTAAGTCGTAACCCAGTTCTCACAGACTCGGCGAAATATAGATTTGGATGCTGTCTGTGTGTGTGATTGTCTTGAAAAGAAGCTGATATCAACATATCAAAAATAATATTTCCATTTTAGGAAATACAATCTTTCCAATACTTCATTAGCATAATTACCTGATTAAGAAACAAGTAGAAATCTTCTATACTTAGCTACTGCTGTACACTAGCATAAATTGTGTATTAGCATAAAAAAAAGCTATTCTAGTTCTATACATTTGTAACTGCGAAGTTGCTAGGCAACAAGCTGATAATAGCGTCTGGTTAAAATGTAATTCTGTACACACGTGTCCTGTCAACATAAAACTTGTCATTTTTTAAATACAGATTTACCCTTAGGCTTACCTATGAGCAGATCTACACTGCTTTCAACTGTTTCCAGTTATAGCTTCATAGCTATAACTTCATATTTAACAAACACACGTGAAAACAGAACTGATATTTCAAGATTTACCGATCTGTCAAAATGTTGTCCTCAATGATGCGTAAACACAAGCACGGAAGAAACTAAAAGGAAGTTCTCAGTTATAAAAAGCATGTAATTTACATATTCAAGTTAAAAGAAAGGGAACAAAAATGGAATCAATATTAAAAATAAGTCAAAATGACATATCATCTGTACCTTACATCTTTGCTTTAAAGGTTTTGCGACTTTCAAGCACAGTGTTTCACTTGCTTGGTAAAAAAAAACAAAAAACAAAAGTTTTGTTCTGTAAAATTATTTGAATTCTTTCAATTATAAAAGTTATTTGAAATTGATGTATTGTTATTAAAAAAAATTGAAGTAAAAAAACTGATTAGAATTATCAAAGTATTTAGAATTTACGGTAATACATCTTCTGAACCATTTTAAGTATTTTATTTATTTGTCTAGTGTTGCATGCTGTAGGAATGCCCCCTCACCTTCACAGAAGTGCGATAAGTGCTCGAGGCCTGTGGGACCAATAGTAGGACATTAGCTTGAGCAAAATGTGTCACCGCTACCTCCACCTCTACACCGGCCTCCTGTGCCTGTGCGGCAGAGTATTGAACAGCCTGTTGACCTTGGCCAAAGTCACTCCTGTCAAGTGAAAAGCGGCTCTCGTTGACTAAAGTGTGGCTCCGGTATTGAGTTCATCACCTATTTGATTCAGCGAGGGAAAAAAACCCCTTCTGTCACCTTCAGTCTGCTCAATCATATCTCTCTCCTCAGCTCACTTTAATATGCTCCAGTCATGACACAGAAGAAAAGTACCTTCACCTATTTCCTAACACCTTATTTTCTCGTGCTTTTTAGTTCTGACCCACTCTCTCATATAACCATCTAAGCACTGTGAGAAGCTGTTGACCTCGACTCATCGGTGCTTACAAGAAGTAAGTCATATAAGGCGTAAATCATAAGTAAACCATATAAGGGTGACAAAAAAGACTATGCAAAAAGTGATGTTTTAAAATTACAAATTTTATATAAATCTCTTCAAATGAAA